CTTAAAGTAGAGTATTAGTCTAGCCAATAATAAATCTAGCTAATTATATTATATTATTACTAGCTATTAATTAAGTACTAAACTAATACAAACACCTATTAATAAAAGTATTCATGTAGTTTACTATGTAAAATAAAATAAAAATAGTATGTAGGCCTACTACTATACTTAACATAATATTAATATAATAGTCTAACTAGTAACTATAGTATTAGTAGCCTATATATATATATAATTATATACTTAATACTTATATACTACTTTACTAGCCTATATAAATATAACTAAAATAAGGCATAGAGATCTAGATCAGAGATCTAGAATCTAAATAAAATACTTAGGCCCTAGTAATATGATCAGTAGTAGATCTAGTAAATAATACTATTAGTGGATTTGTCTATTTGACGATTTGTTAGGGCCTATATATAGTAATATACTTATAGTATTTTTATTATGTCTAGAGGCCTACTGTTTATGACTTAGTGTATGACGTATCATTAATAAGACACTAACTAAGAGAAGTAAGACACTAAGTTAGTACACTAAAGTTCTTTAATTCTTTAGACTTGGTCACTTGACTTTACAACGACTTTAGTTTACAACGTCTTCACTCTTCGTTAAACTACGGTCCGTACCTCTCAAACTAAAACTACTAGATTCTAAATCTAACGAGTCGGTTGTGTTCTAAATAAAATTCTAGATCTAGATTCTATATTAAAATCTGCAAAGTCAATTATTTATCTAGATCTGGATTTAGAATCTAGATTCTATCTCTATTTCTAGATCTAGATCTAGACCTAAATTCATAAAATTCTGATTCTGAAACTTGAGTTTGTTTTGAAGCCAAAAGCGAAAGTAGCTTTCCTAACTTAAAAAAAAAAGATTTAATAAAAATATTCTGATTTGGTTGAAAAAAACGCCAACCGGCAGGACTCCATTTGGACTCCACTTCAACAGCCTTTCCGTTGAAAAATGTATCTCTCTCCCTGGCTAACGAGATTTCAAATTTGAAGCGAGTGAGACTTCCAACAGAACCAGCCCTGAACTAACAACTATACTAGGAGCTGTAGAGTTGGCTCAATCATACCAGCAGCTGTAGAGTTGGCTCAATCATACCAGCAGCTGTAGAGTTGGCTCAACTACCAACAACTATACCAGCAGCTGTAGAGTTGGCTCAACTACCAACAACTATACCAGCAGCTGTAGAGTTGGCTCATCTATACCAGCAGCTGTAGAGTTGGCTCATCTATACCAGCAGCTGTAGAGTTGGCTCATCTATACCAGCAGCTGTAGAGTTGGCTCAACTATACCAGCAGCTGTAAAGTTGGCTCAATTATACCAGCAGCTGTAGAGTTGGCTCAACTATACCAGCAGCTGTAGAGTTGGCTCAACTACCAACAACTATACCAGCAGCTGTAAAGTTGGCTCAATTATACCAGCAGCTGTAGAGTTGGCTCAACTACCAACAACTATACCAGCAGCTGTAAAGTTGGCTCAATTATACCAGCAGCTATAGAGTTGACTCAACTATACCAGCAGCTGTAGAGTTGGCTCAACTATACCAGCAGCTGTAGAGTTGGCTCAACTATACCAGCAGCTGTAGAGTTGGCTCAACTATACCAGCAGCTGTAGAGTTGGCTCAACTACCAACAACTATACCAGCAGCTGTAGAGTTGGCTCAACTATACCAGCAGCTGTAGAGTTGGCTCAACTACCAACAACTATACCAGCAGCTGTAGAGTTGGCTCATCTATACCAGCAGCTGTAGAGTTGGCTCAACTATACCAGCAGCTGTAGAGTTGGCTCAACTATACCAGCAGCTGTAGAGTTGGCTCAACTATACCAGCAGCTGTAGAGTTGGCTCAACTACCAACAACTATACCAGCAGCTGTAGAGTTGGCTCAACTATACCAGCAGCTGTAGAGTTGGCTCAACTACCAACAACTATACCAGCCGCTGTAGAGTTGGCTCAACTATACCAGCAGCTGTAAAGTTGGCTCAATTATACCAGCAGCTGTAGAGTTGGCTCAACTATACCAGCAGCTGTAGAGTTGGCTCAACTATACCAGCAGCTGTAGAGTTGGCTCAACTATACCAGCAGCTGTAGAGTTGGCTCAACTATACCAGCAGCTGTAGAGTTGGCTCAACTATACCAGCAGCTGTAGAGTTGGCTCAACTATACCAGCAGCTGTAGAGTTGGCTCAACTACCAACAACTATACCAGCAGCTGTAGAGTTGGGTCAACTATACCAGCAGCTGTAGAGTTGGCTCAACTATACCAGCAGCTGTAGAGTTGGCTCAACTATACCAGCAGCTGTAAAGTTGTCTCAACTATACCAGCAGCTGTAGAGTTGGCTCAACTATACCAGCAGATGTAGAGTTGGCTCAACTACCAGTCCTTGGGTCGTCATCCACTACACTTTAATCAAACTCTCAAACTACACTTTAATCAAACTCTCAAACTACACTTTAATCAAACTCATTGCTATTAGTCCAAACTGGCGAAAAAGTGCGTTTTATGGTCAGTTTTGGCGGTTTTCAAAAAAAAAAAACTTCACTACTTCTAGTTGTCCTATAAGAATAAAATTTTTATTTCAATAAAGTTTAAGTCTTTATCTGTCGTAATCTGGTATTTTTATATCTGTAACACATGTTTGAATGTGTTTTATATTTGTTTGAAAAGTATCAGTTACGTCAACAAATTTCACCGTTTTGCGAGTACCGATCGACCCCACACTGTTTCATTTGATCGCGGCTTCGCGACGAAGCATCGTAGAAGCATATTCTTCTTAATGTCATTTTAAAGAGCGAATTCTAGTCTATTGTTTGATGTATAAATTGAAAAAAATAACTTGCTTATTTCATTTTAAAAAATCAGTTTTTAAACTTTAAATGACAATATATACACGAAAACTAATTCTGTTTCAATTTTTACACCGATGTAAAGTTCACTTTTATAACTACTTTGTGTTGTAAATTCAAGTATTTCTGATTTACGGTCGCGAAGCCGTGTCCTCAATAAGCATATAACTATTTATAACCCTCGAGTCAACTTTCAGCCCCGGGTGAGTAGCTCGCCGAACGGTTTTAAAGGTTGACGACCGATGATGCTAAACGGATTTTACCCTTGCTAGAGCTTTCAAACAAGTTGTAAGTATTATTTTAAAAAGTTTCTTTTCCATTTTAATAAATGAATTTTAAGTTCGAATGTCAGTTTGGTTTAATTAGTACACTTTATTAATCTAAATTTGAAAGCTACTAGTTCACGGTTTTAGCGTGTGAACTACGCTTGTACACAGGGTGTGTTAAGACGTGAAGCTATTTAATTCAGAACATTCTTGGGACTTAAAATATGGATGCACTTAACTATTAGATGCTAGTGTTTACTAATTCTTTAAAATCTATCGAATGGGATAAATGATAGGGTCGTATTACTAAAGTTTATCTGGACTATCACGTCAAAATTATGAATCGACAAATTCAAAATGGCCACCAGACAATCCTGGTTACTATGTGGACGAACTCAATTATTTACAGGGAACGAAGGTTAAATACTTATAAAATATTAATGAAACACAAAAGAAATTTATAAGTATAATAACTATAAATTTTTATCAATTTATTTAAAATAAAAGATACACAAATTTTAAGGACTAATGTGATTATTTTTTTTTATTTTCTGTTGTGCACTCTGATTCTGATTCCCCAGCTGAATAATGTGAAATGGTCTGCGCCAGTCTCCGTAATAAAATGTACCAGATCAATTTTTAGATGGTTGTGCAATTTATTAAGATTGTACATGTGACTTAGTTTTAAATGTTATATTAGTTGTAAGTGTAAGTAGTACTAGTAGTACTTCTCATTATTTATTTATTTTATATGCATATAGTAATAATGAAGGACAGTTAAGAACCACAGTATGGCACCTTCATCATTGGATATCTCAACCATTGTGGCACAAAATATATTTCATTCAATATAATTAATATTAAAAAAATATACTATCAAGTATAAATTACTTTTATCAAAAAGGTGTTTTCAGGCTTTTTCATATGTTTCCAGCTACAGTCATAGGACAAATAGTTGGCCTAAACAATAGGCTAGTAGTAAATTTAATAATATTTTATTAATCACTAAATACATTATTATTTATTCCATAGGTGGAGACATTTATGGTGGCCTATCAAGAACTTTCCTTACAAGGGAACGGAAGAAGGCCAAGCCCCCCCCCCCTACAGTTCCCAAAACATCGCTTACTCTTGATGCTCTACAAGATCAAGGTTGAGGGAAACAAGACGTACAAAGATGTGGAGTTGTCCTTTAAAAAACTGTTCCCCCAAAGCAGTTATCAACCCAATAGGTTTGAATGTAGCATCAAGTGCTGCATCACTTGTAGGCATCACGTCTTTATTAGATTACATTACTCCATTAAATCTTGATTCTGTTGCTCCTGCACTAGATAACTGTGGCATTTTTAAAAATAATATTTTAACTCATGTGATTTTTAAAAATAATGAACACATTCTTCCTGTTAATGTTACCAACACAATAGTTTTAGAGTTATTCTATGTCCAAAGCAAAAAAAAAATAATTTTGCATGAAAATAGAAGTGACCAAAAACGCATGTTGGTCATTTTCAATTATCTTTTTACCTTAGAAAGACCCATTTTAGATGACTGAAAAAAATGGGGCATATATAATACAAACTTTGCAGTAACTTTACCAATTTCTACACTTCTATGTTGTTTAGTTTAGAAAATATGGGTTCTCAAAAATGGCACTTTTTGGAAATCAGTTTTTTACCAAATTTTGCTTTTTTAAAAATCGCATAACTTTTTTATTTATTGAGATATTTTTATAAAATTTGTGGCATAGAGCTTACAATTAAAAGTTCTTTCAAGAGATACTCACTCCAGAAGTCTGCAATCAATAGTTAATTTCAGTTTGGACTACCTATTGCTATGCTTGTCAATAGAGAGAAATTGTTCAAGTAAAAAAAAAAATGAAAACCACACAAAGAATAAAATTTTTATTTCAAGCTTCAGCTCTTGCTTTGTCCTGAGGCTGAAACAAAAAAATAGAGAATTAGAGAGACAGAGAGACAATGAGAGATAGAGAGAGACAGAGAGACAATGAGAGATAGAGAGAAACAATGAGAGACAGAGAGACACAATGAGAGACAGAGAGGGACAGAGAGAGACAGAGAGAAACAATGGCAGAGAACCAATGAGAGACAGAGAAAGAGAACCAATGAGAGACAGAAAAAGAGAGAATGAGAGAAAGGTGACTGACCTTTTAAGTTGTAGCCATAGGCAGCATAAGCTGCCGTCATGCCTGCATGCGCCCCTGCTATTTCTGCAGCTGACATGGCCTTTCTGGCACTGCCACGCCCTCGCCCTCGCTTGCCTACACTTGAGCCCCTGGGGCGGCCTCGACCTCGCTTGGGGGGTTCAACAACAGGACTAGAGACTAGAGAGAAGAGAGGGTTCAACCACAGGACTAGAGAGAAGAGAGGGTTCAACCACAGGACTAGGGAGAAGAGAGGGTTCAACCACAGGACTAGAGAGAAGAGAGGGTTCAACCACAGGACTAGGGAGAAGAGAGGGTTCAAGAACAGGACTAGGGAGAAGAGAGGGTTCAACCACAGGACTAGAGAGAAGAGAGGGTTCAACCACAGGACTAGGGAGAAGAGAGGGTTCAAGAACAGGACTAGAGAGAAGAGAGGGTTCAACCACAGGACTAGGGAGAAGAGAGGGTTCAAGAACAGGACTAGAGAGAAGAGAGGGTTCAACCATAGGACTAGGGAGAAGAGAGGGTTCAACCATAGGACAAGAGAGAAGAGAGGGTTCAACCACAGGACTAGGGAGAGGAGAGGGTTCAACCACAGGACTAGAGAGAAGAGAGGGTTCAACCACAGGACTAGGGAGAAGAGAGGGTTCAACCACAGGACTAGAGAGAAGAGAGGGTTCAACCACAGGACTAGAGAGAAGAGAGGGTTCAACCACAGGACTAGGGAGAAGAGAGGGTTCAACCATAGGACTAGAGACTAGAGAGAAGAGAGGGTTCAACCACAGGACTAGGGAGAAGAGAGGGTTCAACCATAGGACTAGGGAGAAGAGAGGGTTCAACCATAGGACTAGGGAGAAGAGAGGGTTCAACCACAGGACTAGGGAGAAGAGAGGGTTCAACCATAGGACTAGGGAGAAGAGAGGGTTCAACCACAGGACTAGAGAGAAGAGAGGGTTCAACCATAGGACTAGGGAGAAGAGAGGGTTCAACCATAGGACTAGGGAGAAGAGAGGGTTCAACCATAGGACTAGGGAGAAGAGAGGGTTCAACCACAGGACTAGGGAGAAGAGAGGGTTCAACCATAGGACTAGGGAGAAGAGAGGGTTCAACCACAGGACTAGAGAGAAGAGAGGGTTCAACCACAGGACTAGAGAGAAGAGAGGGTTCAACCATAGGACTAGGGAGAAGAGAGGGTTCAACCACAGGACTAGGGAGAAGAGAGGGTTCAACCATAGGACTAGGGAGAAGAGAGGGTTCAACCACAGGACTAGGGAGAAGAGAGGGTTCAACCATAGGACTAGGGAGAAGAGAGGGTTCAACCATAGGACTAGGGAGAAGAGAGGGTTCAACCACAGGACTAGAGAGAAGAGAGGGTTCAACCACAGGACTAGAGAGAAGAGAGGGTTCAAGAACAGGACTAGGGAGAAGAGAGGGTTCAACCATAGGACTAGGGAGAAGAGAGGGTTCAACCATAGGACTAGAGAGAAGAGAGGGTTCAACCATAGGACTAGGGAGAAGAGAGGGTTCAACCACATGACTAGAGAGAAGAGAGGGTTCAACCACAGGACTAGAGAGAGGAGAGGGTTCAACCACAGGACTAGGGAGAAGAGAGGGTTCAACCATAGGACTAGAGAGAAGAGAGGGTTCAAGAACAGGACTAGGGAGAAGAGAGGGTTCAACCACAGGACTAGAGAGAAGAGAGGGTTCAACCACAGGACTAGAGAGAAGAGAGGGTTCAACCACAGGACTAGGGAGAAGAGAGGGTTCAACCACAGGACTAGGGAGAAGAGAGGGTTCAACCATAGGACTAGGGAGAAGAGAGGGTTCAACCACAGGACTAGAGAGAAGAGAGGGTTCAACCACAGGACTAGAGAGAAGAGAGGGTTCAAGAACAGGACTAGGGAGAAGAGAGGGTTCAACCACAGGACTAGAGAGAAGAGAGGGTTCAACCATAGGACTAGAGAGAAGAGAGGGTTCAACCATAGGACTAGAGACTAGAGAGAAGAGAGGGTTCAACCACAGGACTAGGGAGAAGAGAGGGTTCAACCATAGGACTAGGGAGAAGAGAGGGTTCAACCATAGGACTAGGGAGAAGAGAGGGTTCAACCACAGGACTAGGGAGAAGAGAGGGTTCAACCATAGGACTAGGGAGAAGAGAGGGTTCAACCACAGGACTAGAGAGAAGAGAGGGTTCAACCATAGGACTAGGGAGAAGAGAGGGTTCAACCATAGGACTAGGGAGAAGAGAGGGTTCAACCATAGGACTAGGGAGAAGAGAGGGTTCAACCACAGGACTAGGGAGAAGAGAGGGTTCAACCATAGGACTAGGGAGAAGAGAGGGTTCAACCACAGGACTAGAGAGAAGAGAGGGTTCAACCACAGGACTAGAGAGAAGAGAGGGTTCAACCATAGGACTAGGGAGAAGAGAGGGTTCAACCACAGGACTAGGGAGAAGAGAGGGTTCAACCATAGGACTAGGGAGAAGAGAGGGTTCAACCACAGGACTAGGGAGAAGAGAGGGTTCAACCATAGGACTAGGGAGAAGAGAGGGTTCAACCATAGGACTAGGGAGAAGAGAGGGTTCAACCACAGGACTAGAGAGAAGAGAGGGTTCAACCACAGGACTAGAGAGAAGAGAGGGTTCAAGAACAGGACTAGGGAGAAGAGAGGGTTCAACCATAGGACTAGGGAGAAGAGAGGGTTCAACCATAGGACTAGAGAGAAGAGAGGGTTCAACCATAGGACTAGGGAGAAGAGAGGGTTCAACCACAGGACTAGAGAGAAGAGAGGGTTCAACCACAGGACTAGAGAGAGGAGAGGATTCAACCACAGGACTAGGGAGAAGAGAGGGTTCAACCATAGGACTAGAGAGAAGAGAGGGTTCAAGAACAGGACTAGGGAGAAGAGAGGGTTCAACCACAGGACTAGAGAGAAGAGAGGGTTCAACCACAGGACTAGAGAGAAGAGAGGGTTCAACCACAGGACTAGGGAGAAGAGAGGGTTCAACCACAGGACTAGGGAGAAGAGAGGGTTCAACCATAGGACTAGGGAGAAGAGAGGGTTCAACCACAGGACTAGAGAGAAGAGAGGGTTCAACCACAGGACTAGAGAGAAGAGAGGGTTCAAGAACAGGACTAGGGAGAAGAGAGGGTTCAACCACAGGACTAGAGAGAAGAGAGGGTTCAACCATAGGACTAGGGAGAAGAGAGGGTTCAACCATAGGACTAGAGAGAAGAGAGGGTTCAACCACAGGACTAGGGAGAAGAGAGGGTTCAACCACAGGACTAGAGAGAAGAGAGGGTTCAACCACAGGACTAGAGAGAAGAGAGGGTTCAACCACAGGACTAGAGAGAAGAGAGGGTTCAAGAACAGGACTAGGGAGAAGAGAGGGTTCAACCATAGGACTAGAGAGAAGAGAGGGTTCAAGAACAGGACTAGAGAGAGGAGAGGGTTCAACCACAGGACTAGAGAGAAGAGAGGGTTCAACCACAGGACTAGAGAGAAGAGAGGGTTCAACCACAGGACTAGGGAGAAGAGAGGGTTCAACCACAGGACTAGGGAGAAGAGAGGGTTCAACCACAGGACTAGAGAGAAGAGAGGGTTCAACCATAGGACTAGGGAGAAGAGAGGGTTCAACCACAGGACTAGGGAGAAGAGAGGGTTCAAGAACAGGACTAGGGAGAAGAGAGGGTTCAACCATAGGACTAGGGAGAAGAGAGGGTTCAACCATAGGACTAGAGAGAAGAGAGGGTTCAACCATAGGACTAGGGAGAAGAGAGGGTTCAACCACAGGACTAGAGAGAAGAGAGGGTTCAACCATAGGACTAGGGAGAAGAGAGGGTTCAACCACAGGACTAGGGAGAAGAGAGGGTTCAACCATAGGACTAGGGAGAAGAGAGGGTTCAACCACAGGACTAGAGAGAAGAGAGGGTTCAACCACAGGACTAGGGAGAAGAGAGGGTTCAACCACAGGACTAGGGAGAAGAGAGGGTTCAACCATAGGACTAGAGACTAGGGAGAAGAGAGGGTTCAACCACAGGACTAGAGAGAAGAGAGGGTTCAACCACAGGACTAGGGAGAAGAGAGGGTTCAACCACAGGACTAGAGAGAAGAGAGGGTTCAACCACAGGACTAGGGAGAAGAGAGGGTTCAACCATAGGACTAGAGACTAGGGAGAAGAGAGGGTTCAACCACAGGACTAGAGAGAAGAGAGGGTTCAACCACAGGACTAGGGAGAAGAGAGGGTTCAACCACAGGACTAGAGAGAAGAGAGGGTTCAACCACAGGACTAGAGAGAAGAGAGGGTTCAACCATAGGACTAGAGAGAAGAGAGGGTTCAACCACAGGACTAGAGAGAAGAGAGGGTTCAACCATAGGACTAGGGAGAAGAGAGGGTTCAACCACAGGACTAGGGAGAAGAGAGGGTTCAACCATAGGACTAGGGAGAAGAGAGGGTTCAACCACAGGACTAGGGAGAAGAGAGGGTTCAACCATAGGACTAGGGAGAAGAGAGGGTTCAACCATAGGACTAGGGAGAAGAGAGGGTTCAACCACAGGACTAGAGAGAAGAGAGGGTTCAACCACAGGACTAGAGAGAAGAGAGGGTTCAAGAACAGGACTAGGGAGAAGAGAGGGTTCAACCATAGGACTAGGGAGAAGAGAGGGTTCAACCATAGGACTAGAGAGAAGAGAGGGTTCAACCATAGGACTAGGGAGAAGAGAGGGTTCAACCACAGGACTAGAGAGAAGAGAGGGTTCAACCACAGGACTAGAGAGAGGAGAGGGTTCAACCACAGGACTAGGGAGAAGAGAGGGTTCAACCATAGGACTAGAGAGAAGAGAGGGTTCAAGAACAGGACTAGGGAGAAGAGAGGGTTCAACCACAGGACTAGAGAGAAGAGAGGGTTCAACCACAGGACTAGAGAGAAGAGAGGGTTCAACCACAGGACTAGGGAGAAGAGAGGGTTCAACCACAGGACTAGGGAGAAGAGAGGGTTCAACCATAGGACTAGGGAGAAGAGAGGGTTCAACCACAGGACTAGAGAGAAGAGAGGGTTCAACCACAGGACTAGAGAGAAGAGAGGGTTCAAGAACAGGACTAGGGAGAAGAGAGGGTTCAACCACAGGACTAGAGAGAAGAGAGGGTTCAACCATAGGACTAGGGAGAAGAGAGGGTTCAACCATAGGACTAGAGAGAAGAGAGGGTTCAACCACAGGACTAGGGAGAAGAGAGGGTTCAACCACAGGACTAGAGAGAAGAGAGGGTTCAACCACAGGACTAGAGAGAAGAGAGGGTTCAACCACAGGACTAGAGAGAAGAGAGGGTTCAAGAACAGGACTAGGGAGAAGAGAGGGTTCAACCATAGGACTAGAGAGAAGAGAGGGTTCAAGAACAGGACTAGAGAGAGGAGAGGGTTCAACCACAGGACTAGAGAGAAGAGAGGGTTCAACCACAGGACTAGAGAGAAGAGAGGGTTCAACCACAGGACTAGGGAGAAGAGAGGGTTCAACCATAGGACTAGGGAGAAGAGAGGGTTCAACCACAGGACTAGAGAGAAGAGAGGGTTCAACCATAGGACTAGGGAGAAGAGAGGGTTCAACCACAGGACTAGGGAGAAGAGAGGGTTCAACCATAGGACTAGGGAGAAGAGAGGGTTCAACCACAGGACTAGAGAGAAGAGAGGGTTCAACCACAGGACTAGGGAGAAGAGAGGGTTCAACCACAGGACTAGGGAGAAGAGAGGGTTCAACCATAGGACTAGAGACTAGGGAGAAGAGAGGGTTCAACCACAGGACTAGAGAGAAGAGAGGGTTCAACCACAGGACTAGGGAGAAGAGAGGGTTCAACCACAGGACTAGAGAGAAGAGAGGGTTCAACCACAGGACTAGGGAGAAGAGAGGGTTCAACCATAGGACTAGAGACTAGGGAGAAGAGAGGGTTCAACCACAGGACTAGAGAGAAGAGAGGGTTCAACCACAGGACTAGGGAGAAGAGAGGGTTCAACCACAGGACTAGAGAGAAGAGAGGGTTCAACCACAGGACTAGAGAGAAGAGAGGGTTCAACCATAGGACTAGAGAGAAGAGAGGGTTCAACCACAGGACTAGAGAGAAGAGAGGGTTCAACCATAGGACTAGAGAGAAGAGAGGGTTCAACCATAGGACTAGAGAGAAGAGAGGGTTCAACCATAGGACTAGAGAGAAGAGAGGGTTCAACCACAGGACTAGAGAGAAGAGGGGGTTCAAGAACAGGACAAGAGTTTGATGACATCCCTCAAGACACCTGTCATCATTACATCATGTCGTCATTACATCATGTCGTCATGACATCATGTCGTCATTACATCATGTCGTCATGACATCATGTCGTCATGTCATCATGTCGTCATGACGTACCTGGCGTAAAGTGCAAGCTGTCATCCACAATAACCAGCCCCCCGTCATTGCTGTCATCTTGTGCCGTGGCCTCACTGCCGACTGACATGTGGGCAGATGTCAGCTCACTACAGAATGACATCTAAACAACATCAAGAATAAATCAAGATTCCACAAGGGCACAAGCTTTTGGTGCTAATTATTCAATTATCTTATGTAAGGCCAACATATGACAGCTGGCACTGACATATGTCAGACTAGCTAGCAGTGACATACCGGACTAGCTGGCATGGAATCACCAATAGAGTCCTGGTCTGGGGCAGGTATGGTCACATTCTTCTCTTCTGTCACACTTTTCTTTTTACTGCCATCTCGTTTCTTCAAAACAAAAACTCTAATCAAAAACAGCAAAAACTTCTGGCCATTGGCTAGTGTCTAGAGGACAAAACTAACCTTGTCCTGGCCATTGGCTAGTGTCTAGAGGACAAAACTAACCTTGTCCTGGGCTAGTGTCTAGAGGACAAAACTAACCTTGTCCTGGGCTAGTGTCTAGAGGACAAAACTAACCTTGTCCTGAGCTAGTGTCTAGAGGACAAAACTAACCTTGTCCTGGCCATTGGCTAGTGTCTAGAGGACAAAACTAACCTTGTCCTGGGCTAGTGTCTAGAGGACAAAACTAACCTTGTCCTGAGCTAGTGTCTAGAGGACAAAACTAACCTTGTCCTGGCCATTGGCTAGTGTCTAGAGGACAAAACTAACCTTGTATTCCCTTTTCCTGTTCCTAAAAATGGTGCCAAGATTGGGATCATCCCCCCACAAAACTAACCTTGTATTCCCTTTTCCTCTTCCTAAAAATGGTGCCAAGATTGGGATCATCCCCCACTTTCTCAAACTGTCGAGTGAGCACTGAAAGTGAAAAAAAAGATCTGAGCAACCAAGAGAGTTCATAGGACAACAGCACTAACTAGGAATCAATTCAACGCTGGGGGCTGGAGTGGCTGACCATTCTAAAAGCTTCAACCCCCTCCCCAAAATATGTCATCACACAATGTCAGACCCTCAAATGTCATCACACAATGTCAGACTCCCAAATGTCATCACACAATGTCAGACTCCCAAATGTCATCTCACAATGTCAGACTCCCAAATGTCATCTCACAATGTCAGACTCCCAAATGTCATCAAACAATGTCAGACCCCCAAATGTCATCTCACAATGTCAGACTCCCAAATGTCATCACACAATGTCAGACCCCCAAATGTCATCTCACAATGTCAGACTCCCAAATGTCATCACACAATGTCAGACTCCCAAATGTCATCTCACAATGTCAGACTCCCAAATGTCATCAATGTCAGACCCCCAAATGTCATCTCACAATGTCAGACTCCCAAATGTCATCACACAATGTCAGACCCCCAAATGTCATCTCACAATGTAAGACCCCCAAATGTCATCACACAATGTCAGACCCCCAAATGTCATCACACAATGTCAGACCCTCAAATGTCATCACACAATGTCAGACAATGAACACAAGGATAAAAAGATGGTATCAAGCAGGGAGTGGCTGCTTACACTTTTTTTCCATTTCCTCATCATCAATGAGCAGGGATACAACCTCTCTAGGTTTCAGGGTGTCAGGCTTGTAACTGCCGCCTGAGATAACCATTTTCTGGATCTGTATGGGAGACACATACTGCGGTCAACATACTGCGGTCAACATAGTCACATACTGAGGTCAACATAGTCACATACTGAGGTCAACATAGTCACATACTGAGGTCAACATAGTCACATACTGAGGTCAACATAGTCACATACTGAGGTCAACATAGTCACATACTGAGGTCAACATAGTCACATACTGAGGTCAGTACAACATAGTCACATACTGAGGTCAACATACTGAGGTCAACATAGTCACATACTGAGGTCAACATACTGAGGTCAACATAGTCACATACTGTGGTCAACATAGTCACATACTGAGGTCAACATAGTCACATACTGAGGTAAGCACAACATAGTCACATACTGAGGTCAGCACAACATAGTCACATACTGAGGTCAACATAGTCACATACTGAAGTCAACATAGTCACATACTGAGGTAAGCACAACATAGTCACATACTGAGGTCAACATAGTCACATACTGAAGTCAACATAGTCACATACTGAAGTCAACATAGTCACATACTGAGGTCAACATAGTCACATACTGAGGTCAACATAGTCACATACTGAGGTCAACATAGTCACATACTGTGGTCAACATAGTCACATACTGAGGTCAACATGGTCACATACTGTGGTCAACATAGTCACATACTGAGGTCAACATAGTCACATACTGTGGTCAACATAGTCACATACTGAGGTCAACATGGTCACATACTGTGGTCAACATAGTCACATACTGTGGTCAACATAGTCACATACTGAGGTCAACATAGTCACATACTGAGGTCAACATAGTCACATACTGAGGTCAACATAGTCACATACTGAGGTCAACATAACATAGTCACATACTGTGGTCAACATAGTCACATACTGTGGTCAACATAGTCACATACTGTGGTCAACATAACATGGTCACATGGTGAGGTCAACATAGTCACATACTGAGGTCAACATAGTCACATACTGAGGTCAACATACTGAGGTCAACATAGTCACATACTGAGGTCAACATAACATAGTCACATACTGAGGTCAACATAGTCACATACTGAGGTCAACATAACATAGTCACATACTGTGGTCAACATAGTCACATGGTGAGGTCAACATAACATAGTCACATACTGTGGTCAACATAGTCACATACTGAGGTCAACATAGTCACATACTGTGGTCAACATAGTCACATACTGCGGTCAACATAGTCACATACTGAGGTCAACATAGTCACATACTGAGGTCAACATAGTCACATACTGAGGTCAACATACTGAGGTCAACATAGTCACATACTGAGGTCAACATAACATAGTCACATACTGTGGTCAACATAGTCACATACTGAGGTCAACATAGTCACATACTGAGGTCAACATAACATAGTCACATACTGTGGTCAACATAGTCACATACTGAGGTCAACATAGTCACATACTGTGGTCAACATAGTCACATACTGAGGTCAACATACTGAGGTCAACATAGTCACATACTGAGGTCAACATAACATAGTCACATACTGTGGTCAACATAGTCACATACTGTGGTCAACATAACATAGTCACATACTGTGGTCAACATAACATAGTCACATGGTGAGGTCAATAATTCATTGAGTTTAACACCAGCCACCCTAACCCTAACTCTAACCCTAAAGCCTATGTAGGACTGGCTTGAACAATGAATAGAGAGATTGCCATACCTCACTTTTTTCTTTAGCCCTCTGTAAAATACGTTCCTCTATAGTCCCTTTACAGATGAGCCTGTAGACCGTTACTTGCTTGGTTTGTCCCAGCCTATGGGCTCGGTCCATGGCCTGCTGGTCTACTGTGGGGTTCCAGTCACTGTCATAGAAGATGACCTAAGGGAACACTCATGGATTCATACATGACCTAAGGGAACACTCATGGATTCATACATGACCTAAGGGAACACTCATGGATTCATACATGACCTAAGGGAACACTCATGGATTCATACATGACCTAAAGGAACACTCATGGATTCATACATGACCTAAGGGAACACTCATGGATTCATACATGACCTAAGGGAACACTCGTGGATTCATACATGACCTAAGGGAACACTCGTGGATTCATACATGACCTAAGTAGAAAAGTGTCCAGTAGAAAAGTGTCCAGTACAAAAGTGTCCAATACAAAAATGTCAAGTAGAAAAGCATCAAGTAGAAAAGTGTCCCAGTAGAAAAGTGTCCAGTAGAAAAGTGTCCAGTAGAAAAGTGTCCAGTAGAAAAGTGTCCAGTAGAAAAGCATCAAGTAGAAAAGTGTCAAGTAGAAAAGTGTCCAGTAGAAAAGTGTCCAGTAGAAAAGCATCAAGTAGAAAATTGTCCAGTAGAAAAGTGTCAAGTAGAAAAGTGTCAAGTAGAAAAGTGTCCAGTAGAAAAGTGTCCAGTAGAAAAGTGTCAAGTAGAAAAGTGTCAAGTAGAAAAGTGTCCAGTAGAAAAGTGTCCAGTAGAAAAGTGTCCAGTAGAAAAGTGTCCAGTAGAAAAGTGTCAAGTAGAAAAGTGTCCAGTAGAAAAGTGTCCAGTAGAAAAGTGTCAAGTAGAAAAGTGTCAAGTAGAAAAGTGTCCAGTAGAAAAGTGTCCAGTAGAAAAGTGTCCAGTAGAAAAGTGTCAAGTAGAAAAGTGTCCAGTAGAAAAGTGTCCAGTAGAAAAGTGTCCAGTAGAAAAGTGTCCAGTAGAAAAGTGTCCAGTAGAAAAGTGTCAAGTAGAAAAGTGTCAAGTAGAAAGTGTCCAGTAGAAAAGTGTCAAGTAGAAAAGTGTCAAGTAGAAAAGTGTCCAGTAGAAAAGTGTCCAGTAGAAAAGTGTCCAGTAGAAAAGTGTCAAGTAGAAAAGTGTCCAGTAGAAAAGTGTCCAGTAGAAAAGTGTCCAGTAGAAAAGTGTCAAGTAGAAAAGTGTCAAGTAGAAAAGTGTCAAGTAGAAAAGTGTCAAGTAGAAAAGTGTCCAGTAGAAAAGTGTCAAGTAGAAAAGTGTCAAGTAGAAAAGTGTCCAGTAGAAAAGTGTCAAGTAGAAAAGTGTCAAGTAGAAAAGTGTCCAGTAGAAAAGTGTCAAGTAGAAAAGTGTCCAGTAGAAAAGCGTCCAGTAGAAAAGCATCCAGTAGAAAAGTGTCCAGTAGAAAAGTGTCCAGTAGAAAAGTGTCAAGTAGAAAAGTGTCAAGTAGAAAAGTTACCGTGTCAGCAGCTGTGAGGTTAATGCCAAGCCCTCCAGCTCTTGTACTCAGCAGGAAGACAAAAATGTCTGACCTAGTTTGGAAGTCTGCAACCATGTCACGTCTCTCAGAGATTTTGGAAGAACCATCTAGACGCATGTACGTATGCTTTCTGTACCACATATACTCCTGCAATTGTTACATACACAAAAAAACACATCAAAGATATCCACACACAAAAATGAGGCCTGGGAAACAAAGAGAAGCTAAACCCAGCAGGAAGACCTGACTAAACCCAACAGGAAGACCTGACTAAACCCAACAGGAAGACCTGACTAAACCCAGCAGGAAGACCTGACTAAACCCAGCAGGAAGACCTGGCTAAACCCAACAGGAAGACCTGACTAAACCCAGCAGGAAGACCTGACTAAACCCAGCAGGAAGACCTGACTAAACCCAGCAGGAAGACCTGGCTAAACCCAGCAGGAAGACCTGACTAAACCCAACCCAGCAGGAAGACCTGACTAAACCCAGCAGGAAGACCTGACTAAACCCAGCAGGAAGACCTGGCTAAACCCAGCAGGAAGACCTGGCTAAACCAAGCAGGAAGACCTGGGTAAACCCAGCAGGAAGACCTGACTAAACCCAGCAGGAAGACCTGACTAAACCCAACCCAGCAGGAAGACCTGACTAAACCCAGCAGGAAGACCTGGCTAAACCCAACAGGAAGACCTGACTAAACCCAGCAGGAAGACCTGACTAAACCCAACCCAGCAGGAAGACCTGACTAAACCCAGCAGGAAGACCTGACTAAACCCAACAGGAAGACCTGACTAAACCCAACCCAGCAGGAAGACCTGACTAAACCCAGCAGGAAGACCTGACTAAACCCAACCCAGCAGGAAGACCTGACTAAACCCAACCCAGCAGGAAGACCTGACTAAACCCAGCAGGAAGACCTGACTAAACCCAACCCAGCAGGAAGACCTGACTAAACCCAGCAGGAAGACCTGACTAAACCCAACCCAGCAGGAAGACCTGACTAAACCCAACCCAGCAGGAAGACCTGACTAAACCCAGCAGGAAGACCTGACTAAACCCAGCAGGAAGACCTGACTAAACCAAGCAGGAAGACCTGGCTAAACCCAGCAGGAAGACCTGGGTAAACCCAACCCAGCAGGAAGACCTGGCTAAACCCAACAGGAAGACCTGACTAAACCCAGCAGGAAGACCTGACTAAACCCAACCCAGCAGGAAGACCTGACTAAACCCAGCAGGAAGACCTGACTAAACCCAACCCAGCAGGAAGACCTGACTAAACCCAACCCAGCAGGAAGACCTGGCTAAACCCAACAGGAAGACCTGACTAAACCCAGCAGGAAGACCTGACTAAACCCAGCAGGAAGACCTGACTAAACCCAACCCAGCAGGAAGACCTGACTAAACCCAACCCAGCAGGAAGACCTGACTAAACCCAACAGGAAGACCTGACTAAACCCAGCAGGAAGACCTGACTAAACCCAGCAGGAAGACCTGACTAAACCCAACCCAGCAGGAAGACCTGACTAAACCCAACCCAGCAGGAAGACCTGACTAAACCCAACCCAGCAGGAAGACCTGACTAAACCCAGCAGGAAGACCTGGCTAAACCCAACAGGAAGACCTGACTAAACCCAGCAGGAAGACCTGACTAAACCCAACCCAGCAGGAAGACCTGACTAAACCCAACCCAGCAGGAAGACCTGACTAAACCCAGCAGGAAGACCTGACTAAACCCAACCCAGCAGGAAGACCTGACTAAACCCAACCCAGCAGGAAGACCTGACTAAACCCAACCCAGAAGGAAGACCTGACTAAACCCAGCAGGAAGACCTGACTAAACCCAGCAGGAAGACCTGACTAAACCCAAAAGGAAGACCTGACTAAACCCAGCAGGAAGACCTGACTAAACCCAGCAGGAAGACCTGACTAAACCCAGCAGGAAGACCTGACTAAACCCAGCAGGAAGACCTGACTAAACCCAGCAGGAAGACCTGACTAAACCCAGCAGGAAGACCTGACTAAACCCAGCAGGAAGACCTGACTAAACCCAGCAGGAAGACCTGACTAAACCCAACAGGAAGACCTGACTAAACCCAGCAGGAAGACCTGACTAAACCCAACAGGAAGACCTGACTAAACCCAGCAGGAAGACCTGACTAAACCCAGCAGGAAGACCTGACTAAACCCAGCAGGAAGACCTGACTAAACCCAACAGGAAGACCTGACTAAACCCAACAGGAAGACCTGACTAAACCCAGCAGGAAGACCTGACTAAACCCAGCAGGAAGACCTGACTAAACCCAGCAGGAAGACCTGACTAAACCCAACCCAGCAGGAAGACCTGACTAAACCCAACAGGAAGACCTGACTAAACCCAACCCAGCAGGAAGACCTGACTAAACCCAGCAGGAAGACCTGACTAAACCCAACCCAGCAGGAAGACCTGACTAAACCCAACCCAGCAGGAAGACCTGACTAAACCCAGCAGGAAGACCTGACTAAACCCAACCCAGCAGGAAGACCTGACTAAACCCAACAGGAAGACCTGACTAAACCCAACCCAGCAGGAAGACCTGACTAAACCCAGCAGGAAGACCTGACTAAACCCAGCAGGAAGACCTGACTAAACCCAGCAGGAAGACCTGACTAAACCCAACCCAGCAGGAAGACCTGACTAAACCCAGCAGGAAGACCTGACTAAACCCAGCAGGAAGACCTGGCTAAACCCAACAGGAAGACCTGGCTAAACCCAACCCAGCAGGAAGACCTGGCTAAACCCAACAGGAAGACCTGACTAAACCCAGCAGGAAGACCTGACTAAACCCAGCAGGAAGACCTGACTAAACCCAGCAGGAAGACCTGACTAAACCCAGCAGGAAGACCTGACTAAACCCAGCAGGAAGACCTGACTAAACCCAACCCAGCAGGAAGACCTGACTAAACCCAACCCAACAGGAAGACCTGACTAAACCCAACAGGAAGACCTGACTAAACCCAGCAGGAAGACCTGACTAAACCCAGCAGGAAGACCTGACTAAACCCAACCCAGCAGGAAGACCTGACTAAACCCAACCCAGCAGGAAGACCTGACTAAACCCAGCAGGAAGACCTGACTAAACCCAGCAGGAAGACCTGACTAAACCCAGCAGGAAGACCTGACTAAACCCAACCCAGCAGGAAGACCTGACTAAACCCAGCAGGAAGACCTGGCTAAACCCAGCAGGAAGACCTGACTAAACCCAACAGGAAGACCCGACTAAACCCAGCAGGAAGACCTGACTAAACCCAACCCAGCAGGAAGACCTGACTAAACCCAGCAGGAAGACCTGACTAAACCCAGCAGGAAGACCTGACTAAACCCAGCAGGAAGACCTGACTAAACCCAGCAGGAAGACCTGACTAAACCCAACCCAGCAGGAAGACCTGACTAAACCCAACCCAACAGGAAGACCTGACTAAACCCAACAGGAAGACCTGACTAAACCCAGCAGGAAGACCTGACTAAACCCAGCAGGAAGACCTGACTAAACCCAACCCAGCAGGAAGACCTGACTAAACCCAACCCAGCAGGAAGACCTGACTAAACCCAGCAGGAAGACCTGACTAAACCCAGCAGGAAGACCTGACTAAACCCAGCAGGAAGACCTGACTAAACCCAACCCAGCAGGAAGACCTGACTAAACCCAGCAGGAAGACCTGGCTAAACCCAGCAGGAAGACCTGACTAAACCCAACAGGAAGACCTGACTAAACCCAGCAGGAAGACCTGACTAAACCCAACCCAGCAGGAAGACCTGGCTAAACCCAACAGGAAGACCTGACTAAACCCAGCAGGAAGACCTGGCTAAACCCAGCAGGAAGACCTGACTAAACCCAACCCAGCAGGAAGACCTGACTAAACCCAGCAGGAAGACCTGACTAAACCCAGCAGGAAGACCTGACTAAACCCAGCAGGAAGACCTGACTAAACCCAACCCAGCAGGAAGACCTGGCTAAACCCAACAGGAAGACCTGACTAAACCCAGCAGGAAGACCTGACTAAACCCAGCAGGAAGACCTGACTAAACCCAGCAGGAAGACCTGACTAAACCCAGCAGGAAGACCTGACTAAACCCAACAGGAAGACCTGACTAAACCCAGCAGGAAGACCTGACTAAACCCAGCAGGAAGACCTGACTAAACCCAACCCAGCAGGAAGACCTGACTAAACCCAACCCAGCAGGAAGACCTGACTAAACCCAGCAGGAAGACCTGGGTAAACCCAACCCAGCAGGAAGACCTGGCTAAACCCAACAGGAAGACCTGACTAAACCCAGCAGGAAGACCTGACTAAACCCAGCAGGAAGACCTGACTAAACCCAACAGGAAGACCTGGCTAAACCCAGCAGGAAGACCTGACTAAACCCAACAGGAAGACCTGACTAAACCCAGCAGGAAGACCTGACTAAACCCAGCAGGAAGACCTGACTAAACCCAACCCAGCAGGAAGACCTGACTAAACCCAACCCAGCAGGAAGACCTGACTAAACCCAGCAGGAAGACCTGGGTAAACCCAACCCAGCAGGAAGACCTGGCTAAACCCAACAGGAAGACCTGACTAAACCCAGCAGGAAGACCTGACTAAACCCAGCAGGAAGACCTGGCTAAACCCGACAGGAAGACCTGACTAAACCCAGCAGGAAGACCTGACTAAACCCAACCCAGCAGGAAGACCTGACTAAACCCAACCCAGCAGGAAGACCTGACTAAACCCAGCAGGAAGACCTGGCTAAACCCAACAGGAAGACCTGACTAAACCCAACCCAGCAGGAAGACCTGACTAAACCCAACAGGAAGACCTGACTAAACCCAACCCAGCAGGAAGACCTGACTAAACCCAGCAGGAAGACCTGACTAAACCCAGCAGGAAGACCTGACTAAACCCAGCAGGAAGACCTGACTAAACCCAACCCAGCAGGAAGACCTGACTAAACCCAGCAGGAAGACCTGACTAAACCCAGCAGGAAGACCTGGCTAAACCCAACAGGAAGACCTGGCTAAACCCAACCCAGCAGGAAGACCTGACTAAACCCAGCAGGAAGACCTGACTAAACCCAACCCAGCAGGAAGACCTGACTAAACCCAGCAGGAAGACCTGACTAAACCCAGCAGGAAGACCTGGCTAAACCCAACAGGAAGACCTGACTAAACCCAACCCAGCAGGAAGACCTGACTAAACCCAACAGGAAGACCTGACTAAACCCAGCATGAAGACCTGACTAAACCCAGCAGGAAGACCTGACTAAACCCAGCAGGAAGACCTGACTAAACCCAGCAGGAAGACCTGGGTAAACCCAGCAGGAAGACCTGACTAAACCCAGCAGGAAGACCTGACTAAACCCAGCAGGAAGACCTGACTAAACCCAGCAGGAAGACCTGGGTAAACCCAGCAGGAAGACCTGACTAAACCCAGCAGGAAGACCTGACTAAACCCAGCAGGAAGACCTGAGTAAACCCAGCAGGAAGACCTGACTAAACCCAACCCAGCAGGAAGACCTGACTAAACCCAGCAGGAAGACCTGACTAAACCCAACAGGAAGACCTGACTAAACCCAGCAGGAAGACCTGACTAAACCCAACAGGAAGACCTGACTAAACCCAGCAGGAAGACCTGGGTAAACCCAGCAGGAAGACCTGACTAAACCCAGCAGGAAGACCTGGGTAAACCCAACCCAGCAGGAAGACCTGACTAAACCCAACCCAGCAGGAAGACCTGACTAAACCCAGCAGGAAGACCTGACTAAACCCAACAGGAAGACCTGACTAAACCCAAGAGGAAGACCTGACTAAACCCAACAGGAAGACCTGACTAAACCCAGCAGGAAGACCTGACTAAACCCAGCAGGAAGACCTGACTAAACCCAGCAGGAAGACCTGGGTAAACCCAACCCAGCAGGAAGACCTGGGTAAACCCAACCCAGCAGGAAGACCTGACTAAACCCAACCCAGCAGGAAGACCTGACTAAACCCAGCAGGAAGACCTGACTAAACCCAACCCAGCAGGAAGACCTGACTAAACCCAGCAGGAAGACCTGACTAAACCCAGCAGGAAGACCTGACTAAACCCAGCAGGAAGACCTAACTAAACCCAACCCAGCAGGAAGACCTGACTAAACCCAGCAGGAAGACCTGACTAAACCCAGCAGGAAGACCTGACTAAACCCAGCAGGAAGACCTGACTAAACCCAGCAGGAAGACCTGACTAAACCCAACCCAGCAGGAAGACCTGACTAAACCCAGCAGGAAGACCTGACTAAACCCAGCAGGAAGACCTGACTAAACCCAACAGGAAGACCTGACTAAACCCAGCAGGAAGACCTGACTAAACCCAGCAGGAAGACCTGACTAAACCCAGCAGGAAGACCTGACTAAACCCAACCCAGCAGGAAGACCTGACTAAACCCAACCCAGCAGGAAGACCTGACTAAACCCAGCAGGAAGACCTGACTAAACCCAACAGGAAGACCTGACTAAACCCAACAGGAAGACCTGACTAAACCCAGCAGGAAGACCTGACTAAACCCAACAGGAAGACCTGACTAAACCCAACAGGAAGACCTGACTAAACCCAACCCAGCAGGAAGACCTGACTAAACCCAGCAGGAAGACCTGACTAAACCCAGCAGGAAGACCTGACTAAACCCAGCAGGAAGACCTGGCTAAACCCAGCAGGAAGACCTGGCTAAACCCAGCAGGAAGACCTGACTAAACCCAGCAGGAAGACCTGACTAAACCCAACCCAGAAGGAAGACCTGACTAAACCCAGCAGGAAGACCTGACTAAACCCAACCCAGCAGGAAGACCTGACTAAACCCAGCAGGAAGACCTGACTAAACCAAGCAGGAAGACCTGACTAAACCCAGCAGGAAGACCTGACTAAACCCAGCAGGAAGACCTGACTAAACCCAACCCAGCAGGAAGACCTGACTAAACCCAGCAGGAAGACCTGACTAAACCCAGCAGGAAGACCTGACTAAACCAAGCAGGAAGACCTGACTAAACCCAACCCAGCAGGAAGACCTGACTAAACCCAACCCAGCAGGAAGACCTGACTAAACCCAACCCAGCAGGAAGACCTGACTAAACCCAACAGGAAGACCTGACTAAACCCAGCAGGAAGACCTGGCTAAACCCAGCAGGAAGACCTGACTAAACCCAACAGGAAGACCTGACTAAACCCAACAGGAAGACCTGACTAAACCCAGCAGGAAGACCTGACTAAACCCAGCAGGAAGACCTGGCTAATAATGTGTAGAAAAAATAATTTTAAACAATTTAGTATTTAATGGATGAGCCCTTTACCTCGAGTAAATCAATCATTCTGGTCATTTGAGAGTAGATGAGGACTCTGTGGTCCTCTCCTTTCAACCTTTGGAGCAGTGAGTCCAGAACATAGAGCTTGCCTGCGTCAGTCACCAAAGATTCTTTGTCTGGAACACACCACATACAGGAGTAGAGGACGTACAGGGGACATGACGTATAAACCAAGCTTTCTCTAACCTGGTATTTGTACAGGAGTCCAACCAAAATGAGGTTTGACCAAACAATTACATCACTAACCTGGTATTTGTACAGGAGTCCAACCAAAATGAGGTTTGACCAAACATTCTGGAGCAGCCAAAGCCATTAGACGGGCCCCGGCCCCCTGCCTGCTCCACTCAGCGCTGCGGTCAACAGAATACTGCACAGCTCCTGGACATGTCACCTGACAAGTGAGCCAAGCAATCATTCAGCTATACTTTTAGCTGTTTCAATCATTCAGCTATACTTTTAGCTGTTTCAATCATTCAGCTATACTTTTAGCTGTTTCAATCATTCAGCTATACTTTTAGCTGTTTCAATTATTCAGCTCTACTTTTAGCTGTTTCAATCATTCAGCTATACTTTTAGCTGTTTCAATCATTCAGCTATACTTTTAGCCATTTCAATGACTGAGACTTGTATAGATCTAGGCAGCTACCTCTGGTAAGAGAACTAAGAAGACAAGAGACTAACAGAAGTAAGAAGACAAGAGACTTGTATAGATCTAGGCAGCTACCTTTGGTAAGAGAACTAAGAAGACAAGAGACTAAGAGAACTAAGAAGACAAGAGACTAAGAGAACTAAGAAGACAAGAGACTTGTATAGATCTAGGCAGCTACCTTTGGTAAGAGAACTAAGAAGACAAGAGACTAAGAGAACTAAGAAGACAAGAGACTAAGAGAACTAAGAAGACAAGAGACTAAGAGAACTAAGAAGACAAGATACTTGTATAGATCTAGGCAGCTACCTTTGGTAAGAGAACTAAGAAGACAAGAGACTAAGAGAACTAAGAAGACAAGAGACTAAGAGAACTAAGAAGACAAGAGACTTGTATAGATCTAGGCAGCTACCTTTGGTAAGAGAACTAAGAAGACAAGAGAACTTGTATAGATCTAGGCAGCTACCTTTGGTAAGAGAACTAAGAAGACAAGAGAACTTGTATAGATCTAGGCAGCTACCTTTGGTAAGAGAACTAAGAAGACAAGAGACTTGTATACAGCTACCTTTGGTAAGAGAACTAAGAAGACAAGAGACTTGTATACAGCTACCTTTGGTAAGAGAACTAAGAAGACAAGAGACTTGTATACAGCTACCTTTGGTAAGAGAACTAAGAAGACAAGAGACTTGTATACAGCTACCTTTGGTAAGAGAACTAAGAAGACAAGAGACTTGTATAGATCTAGGCAGCTACCTTTGGTAAGAGAACTAAGAAGACAAGAGAACTTGTATAGATCTAGGCAGCTACCTTTGGTAAGAGAACTAAGAAGACAAGAGAACTTGTATAGATCTAGGCAGCTACCTTTGGTAAGAGAACTAAGAAGACAAGAGACTTGTATACAGCTACCTTTGGTAAGAGAACTAAGAAGACAAGAGACTTGTATACAGCTACCTTTGGTAAGAGAACTAAGAAGACAAGAGACTTGTATACAGCTACCTTTGGTAAGAGAACTAAGAAGACAAGAGACTTGTATACAGCTACCTTTGGTAAGAGAACTAAGAAGACAAGAGACTTGTATACAGCTACCTTTGGTAAGAGAACTAAGAAGACAAGAGACTTGTATAGATCTAGGCAGCTACCTTTGGTAAGAGAACTAAGAAGACAAGAGAACTTGTATAGATCTAGGCAGCTACCTTTGGTAAGAGAACTAAGAAGACAAGAGAACTTGTATAGATCTAGGCAGCTACCTTTGGTAAGAGAACTAAGAAGACAAGAGACTTGTATACAGCTACCTTTGGTAAGAGAACTAAGAAGACAAGAGACTTGTATACAGCTACCTTTGGTAAGAGAACTAAGAAGACAAGAGACTTGTATACAGCTACCTTTGGTAAGAGAACTAAGAAGACAAGAGACTTGTATACAGCTACCTTTGGTAAGAGAACTAAGAAGACAAGAGACTTGTATACAGCTACCTTTGGTAAGAGAACTAAGAAGACAAGAGACTTGTATACAGCTACCTTTGGTAAGAGAACTAAGAAGACAAGAGACTTGTATACAGCTACCTTTGGTAAGAGAACTAAGAAGACAAGAGACTTGTATACAGCTACCTTTGGTAAGAGAACTAAGAAGACAAGAGACTTGTATACAGCTACCATTGGTAAGAGAACTAAGAAGACAAGAGACTAAGAGAACTAAGAAGACAAGAGACTTGTATACAGCTACCTTTGGTAAGAGAACTAAGAAGAATGCTGGCAAGTCAATCTGGACACATTGGAGAGCTCGGGGTGACCTGTATTTGTGCTGGTAAATCTCATCAAGGCCTCCTGCTGCCTGAGGAGAAAATGTTTCAGGTGGTGTTAGAATGTTGACCGCGTGGGGGAGTGTGTGGACAAATGTTGACCTCTGTGTGGGGGGGAGTGTGGGAACAAATGTTGACCTTGGTGGGGGAGTGTGGGGACAAAGGTTTACCTTGGTGGGAGAGTGTGTGGCCAAATGTTTACCGTGTGGGGGAGTGTGTGGACAAATGTTGACCGTGTGGGGGAGTGTGTGGCCAAATGTTTACCTTGGTGGGAGAGTGTGTGGCCAAATGTTTACCGTGTGGGGGAGTGTGTGGACAAATGTTGACCGTGTGGGGGAGTGTGTGGCCAAATGTTTACCTTGGTGGGGGAGTGTGTGGCCAAATGTTTACCTTGGTGGGGGAGTGTGTGGACAAATGTTGACCGTGTGGGGGAGTGTGTGGACAAATGTTTACCTTGGTGGGGGAGTGTGTGGACAAATGTTGACCGTGTGGGGGAGTGTGTGGCCAAATGTTTACCTTGGTGGGGGAGTGTGTGGACAAATGTTGACCGTGGTGGGGGAGTGTGTGGACAAATGTTGACCGTGTGGGGGAGTGTGTGGACAAATGTTTACCTTGGTGGGGGAGTGTGTGGACAAATGTTGACCGTGTGGGGGAGTGTGTGGACAAATGTTGACTGTGGTGGGGGAGTGTGTGGACAAATGTTGACCGTGTGGGGGAGTGTGTGGACAAATGTTTACCTTGGTGGGGGAGTGTGTGGACAAATGTTGACCGTGTGGGGGAGTGTGTGGACAAATGTTGACCGTGTGGGGGAGTGTGTGGCCAAATGTTTACCTTGGTGGGGGAGTGTGTGGCCAAATATTTACCTTGGTGGGGGAGTGTGTGGCCAAATGTTTACTTCTCCTGAGCCTGGCCTGTCTGTGGGCGAAAGTCTCTGGCATGTAGTGTAAGACAAGTGTGTCGTGTGTGTAGAACCTTGATGTGTAGCTGGTGAATACCAGCTCTTCCAGCACACGGACAGGGGGGATGTACAGGCTCCTGCGTGGTGTGAATCTGGTGGTCAAACAAAGCAACCAGACAGTTGGTCAAACAAAGCAACCAGACAGTTGGTCAAACAAAGCAACCAGACAGTTGGTCAAACAAAGCAACCAGACAGTTGGTCAAACAAAGCAACCAGACAGTTGGTCAAACAAAGCAACCAGACAGTTGGTCAAACAAAGCAACCAGACAGTTGGTCAAATGGTCAAACAAAGCAACCAGACAGTTGGTCAAATGGTCAAACAAAGCAACCAGACAGTTGGTCAAACAAAGCAATCAGACAGTTGGTCAAATGGTCAAACAAAGTCACCAGACAGTTGGTCAAACAAAGCAACCAGACAGTTGGTCAAACAAAGCAACCAGACAGTTGGTCAAACAAAGCAACCAGACAGTTGGTCAAATGGTCAAACAAAGCAACCAGACAGTTGGTCAAATGGTCAAACAAAGCAACCAGACAGTTGGTCAAACAAAGCAACCAGACAGTTGGTCAAACAAAGCAACCAGACAGTTGGTCAAACAAAGCAACCAGACAGTTGGTCAAACAAAGCAACCAGACAGTTGGTCAAACAAAGCAACCAGACAGTTGGTCAAATGGTCAAACAAAGCAACCAGACAGTTGGTCAAATGGTCAAACAAAGCAACCAGACAGTTGGTCAAACAAAGCAACCAGACAGTTGGTCAAACAAAGCAACCAGACAGTTGGTCAAACAAAGCAACCAGACAGTTGGTCAAACAAAGCAACCAGACAGTTGGTCAAACAAAGCAACCAGACAGTTGGTCAAATGGTCAAACAAAGCAACCAGACAGTTGGTCAAATGGTCAAACAAAGCAACCAGACAGTTGGTCAAATGGTCAAACAAAGCAACCAGACAGTTGGTCAAACAAAGCAATCAGACAGTTGGTCAAATGGTCAAACAAAGTCACCAGACAGTTGGTCAAACAAAGCAACCAGACAGTTGGTCAAACAAAGCAACCAGACAGTTGGTCAAACAAAGCAACCAGACAGTTGGTCAAATGGTCAAACAAAGCAACCAGACAGTTGGTCAAATGGTCAAACAAAGCAACCAGACAGTTGGTCAAACAAAGCAATCAGACAGTTGGTCAAATGGTCAAACAAAGTCACCAGACAGTTGGTCAAACAAAGCAACCAGACAGTTGGTCAAACAAAGCAACCAGACAGTTGGTCAAACAAAGCAACCAGACAGTTGGTCAAACAAAGCAACCAGACAGTTGGTCAAATGGTCAAACAAAGCAACCAGACAGTTGGTCAAACAAAGCAACCAGTCAAACACATTGCTGTGTTTGAGGAAATCACATTAAAACTTTACAATTAAGAACAAAGAAGAAGAAAATGGTACTAAAAAAACCAACCTTTTTTCTTCAGCCCATAGAAATTGCTGACTTATCAATCCAGACACAGTAAGCCATCTGAAATTCATGTACACATCTTAATTATAGGCCAGGTACACATTCAATGTACACATCTTAATTATAGGCCAGGTACACATTCAATGCACAAATCCTGAATACAGGCCATGTAAGGAAATAAATAAGCACTAAAACAACATTTTCTAGTAGATAAATGTTTTAATACGGTGAGTGAAATTACATGCTATTTACTGTGAAATTACATGCTATTTACTGTGAAATTACATGCTATTTACTGTGAAATTACATGCTATTTAATGTGAAATTACATGCTATTTACTGTGAAATTACATGATATTTACTGTGAAATTACTTGCTATTTACTGTGAAATTGCATGCTATTTACTGTGAAATTACATGCTATTTACTGTGAAATTACATGCTATTTACTGTGAAATTACATGCTATTTACTGTGAAATTACATGCTATTTACTGTGAAATTACTTGCTATGTACTGTGAAATTACATGCTATGTACTGTGAAATTACATGCTATTTACTGTGAAATTACAATATGCTATGTACTGTGAAATTACATGCTATTTACTGTGAAATTACAATATGCTATTTACTGTGAAATTACTTGCTATTTACTGTGAAATTACAATATGCTATTTACTGTGAAATTACAATATGCTATTTACTGTGAAATTACATGCTATTTACTGTGAAATTACATGCTATTTACTGTGAAATTACATGCTATTTACTGTGAAATTACATGCTATGTACTGTGAAATTACATGCTATTTACTGTGAAATTACAATATGCTATTTACTGTGAAATTACATGCTATTTACTGTGAAATTACAATATGCTATTTACTGTGAAATTACTTGCTATTTACTGTGAAATTACAATATGCTATTTACTGTGAAATTACAATATGCTATTTACTAGTCTCAACATTTGCTAATGCCAACCTTATGTCATTCTCAACATTTCATTTATTTCTTTGTTTTGTTCTTAATTGGAGGAGTGTTAAAAATCTCGCAAAGGTATGTAGACACAAAATGAAGTAAAATTTAAAAACCAAAAAATGGTGAAAGCTTGATTGATTTAAAAATGTGTTCTTTAACATAAACTGATATATCTGTTACAAGCTGCTGAATTGTATTATTAGACAAACATTGTTACATCTTTACTATACTTAACGTACTGGGTTTTATGAGATTTTCTCCTATTGTTTGAGAGGTTTTTTTTTCTTTGCAAATTCTAATGCAACTTCATATGATGCTTGCACTAATGCCGTGTTTTCTTGGTGAAAACTTTCTGTCCGATCAAGTCTCTGACGTTTGCAACTAGCTTCATGCCGAAGAAAGAACTCTGTTTCTTTTATGGTGTGTTTGAAATTACTCATCTTAAATGACGTTTAAGTTTTGAAGGTTTCAAGCTAGGTGGTAGAGGCTGAGCTAATTGGTAGAGGCTGAGCTAGGTGGTAGAGGCTGAGCTAGGTGGTAGAGGCTGAGCTAGGTGGTAGAGGCTGAGCTAGGTGGTAGAGGCTGAGCTAGGTGGTAGAGGCTGAGCTAGGTGGTAGAGGCTGAGCTAGGTGGTAGAGGCTGAGCTAGGTGGTAGAGGCTGAGCTAGGTGGTAGAGGCTGAGCTAGGTGGTAGAGGCTGAGCTAGGTGGTAGAGGCTGAGCTAGGTGGTAGAGGCTGAGCTAGGTGCTAGAGGCTGAGCTAGGTGGTAGAGGCTGAGCTAGGTGGTAGAGGCTGAGCTAGGTGGTAGAGGCTGAGCTAGGTGGTAGAGGCTGAGCTAGGTGGTAGAGGCTGAGCTAGGTGGTAGAGGCTGAGCTAGGTGGTAGAGGCTGAGCTAGGTGGTAGAGGCTGAGCTAGGTGGTAGAGGCTGAGCTAGGTGGTAGAGGCTGAGCTAGGTGGTAGAGGCTGAGCTAGGTGGTAGAGGCTGAGCTAGGTGGTAGAGGCTGAGCTAGGTGGTAGAGGCTGAGCTAGAGGCTGAGCTAGAGGCTGAGCTAGGTGGTAGAGGCTGAGCTAGGTGGTAGAGGCTGAGCTAGGGGGTAGAGGCTGAGCTAGGTGGTAGAGGCTGAGCTAGGTGGTAGAGGCTGAGCTAGAGGCTGAGCTAGAGGCTGAGCTAGGTGGTAGAGGCTGAGCTAGGTGGTAGAGGCTGAGCTAGAGGCTGAGCTAGGTGGTAGAGGCTGAGCTAGGTGGTAGAGGCTGAGCTAGGTGGTAGAGGCTGAGCTAGGTGGTAGAGGCTGAGCTAGGTGGTAGAGGCTGAGCTAGAGGCTGAGCTAGAGGCTGAGCTAGGTGGTAGAGGCTGAGCTAGGTGGTAGAGGCTGAGCTAGGTGGTAGAGGCTGAGCTAGGTGGTAGAGGCTGAGCTAGAGGCTGAGCTAGAGGCTGAGCTAGGTGGTAGAGGCTGAGCTAGGTGGTAGAGGCTGAGCTAGGTGGTAGAGGCTGAGCTAGGTGGTAGAGGCTGAGCTAGGTGGTAGAGGCTGAGCTAGGTGGTAGAGGCTGAGCTAGGTGGTAGAGGCTGAGCTAGAGGCTGAGCTAGGTGGTAGAGGCTGAGCTAGGTGGTAGAGGCTGAGCTAGGTGGTAGAGGCTGAGCTAGGTGGTAGAGGCTGAGCTAGGTGGTAGAGGCTGAGCTAGGTGGTAGAGGCTGAGCTAGGTGGTAGAGGCTGAGCTAGGTGGTAGAGGCTGAGCTAGAGGCTGAGCTAGAGGCTGAGCTAGGTGGTAGAGGCTGAGCTAGGTGGTAGAGGCTGAGCTAGAGGCTGAGCTAGGTGGTAGAGGCTGAGCTAGGTGGTAGAGGCTGAGCTAGGTGGTAGAGGCTGAGCTAGGTGGTAGAGGCTGAGCTAGGTGGTAGAGGCTGAGCTAGAGGCTGAGCTAGAGGCTGAGCTAGGTGGTAGAGGCTGAGCTAGGTGGTAGAGGCTGAGCTAGGTGGTAGAGGCTGAGCTAGGTGGTAGAGGCTGAGCTAGGTGGTAGAGGCTGAGCTAGGTGGTAGAGGCTGAGCTAGGTGGTAGAGGCTGAGCTAGAGGCTGAGCTAGGTGGTAGAGGCTGAGCTAGGTGGTAGAGGCTGAGCTAGGTGGTAGAGGCTGAGCTAGGTGGTAGAGGCTGAGCTAGGTGGTAGAGGCTGAGCTAGGTGGTAGAGGCTGAGCTAGGTGGTAGAGGCTGAGCTAGGTGGTAGAGGCTGAGCTAGGTGGTAGAGGCTGAGCTAGGTGGTAGAGGCTGAGCTAGGTGGTAGAGGCTGAGCTAGGTGGTAGAGGCTGAGCTAGGTGGTAGAGGCTGAGCTAGGTGGTAGAGGCTGAGCTAGGTGGTAGAGGCTGAGCTAGGTGGTAGAGGCTGAGCTAGGTGGTAGAGGCTGAGCTAGGTGGTAGAGGCTGAGCTAGAGGCTGAGCTAGAGGCTGAGCTAGGTGGTAGAGGCTGAGCTAGGTGGTAGAGGCTGAGCTAGGTGGTAGAGGCTGAGCTAGAGGCTGAGCTAGGTGGTAGAGGCTGAGCTAGGTGGTAGAGGCTGAGCTAGGTGGTAGAGGCTGAGCTAGGTGGTAGAGGCTGAGCTAGGTGGTAGAGGCTGAGCTAGAGGCTGAGCTAGGTGGTAGAGGCTGAGCTAGGTGGTAGAGGCTGAGCTAGGTGGTAGAGGCTGAGCCAGGTGGTAGAGGCTGAGCTAGGTGGTAGAGGCTGAGCTAGGTGGTAGAGGCTGAGCTAGGTGGTAGAGGCTGAGCTAGAGGCTGAGCTAGGTGGTAGAGGCTGAGCTAGGTGGTAGAGGCTGAGCTAGGTGGTAGAGGCTGAGCTAGAGGCTGAGCTAGGTGGTAGAGGCTGAGCTAGGTGGTAGAGGCTGAGCTAGGTGGTAGAGGCTGAGCTAGAGGCTGAGCTAGGTGGTAGAGGCTGAGCTAGGTGGTAGAGGCTGAGCTAGGTGGTAGAGGCTGAGCTAGGTGGTAGAGGCTGAGCTAGGTGGTAGAGGCTGAGCTAGGTGGTAGAGGCTGAGCTAGGTGGTAGAGGCTGAGCTAGAGGCTGAGCTAGAGGCTGAGCTAGGTGGTAGAGGCTGAGCTAGGTGGTAGAGGCTGAGCTAGAGGCTGAGCTAGAGGCTGAGCTAGGTGGTAGAGGCTGAGCTAGGTGGTAGAGGCTGAGCTAGGTGGTAGAGGCTGAGCTAGGTGGTAGAGGCTGAGCTAGAGGCTGAGCTAGGTGGTAGAGGCTGAGCTAGGTGGTAGAGGCTGAGCTAGGTGGTAGAGGCTGAGCTAGAGGCTGAGCTAGAGGCTGAGCTAGGTGGTAGAGGCTGAGCTAGGTGGTAGAGGCTGAGCTAGGTGGTAGAGGCTGAGCTAGGTGGTAGAGGCTGAGCTAGGTGGTAGAGGCTGAGCTAGGTGGTAGAGGCTGAGCTAGGTGGTAGAGGCTGAGCTAGAGGCTGAGCTAGGTGGTAGAGGCTGAGCTAGGTGGTAGAGGCTGAGCTAGGTGGTAGAGGCTGATCTAGGTGGTAGAGGCTGAGCTAGAGGCTGAGCTAGGTGGTAGAGGCTGAGCTAGGTGGTAGAGGCTGAGCTAGGTGGTAGAGGCTGAGCTAGGTGGTAGAGGCTGAGCTAGGTGGTAGAGGCTGAGCTAGAGGCTGAGCTAGGTGGTAGAGGCTGAGCTAGGTGGTAGAGGCTGAGCTAGGTGGTAGAGGCTGAGCTAGGTGGTAGAGGCTGAGCTAGGTGGTAGAGGCTGAGCTAGGTGCTAGAGGCTGAGCTAGGTGGTAGAGGCTGAGCTAGGTGGTAGAGGCTGAGCTAGGTGGTAGAGGCTGAGCTAGGTGGTAGAGGCTGAGCTAGGTGGTAGAGGCTGAGCTAATTGGTAGAGGCTGAGCTAGGTGGTAGAGGCTGAGCTAGGTGGTAGAGGCTGAGCTAGGTGGTAGAGGCTGAGCTAGGTGGTAGAGGCTGAGCTAGGTGGTAGAGGCTGAGCTAGGTGGTAGAGGCTGAGCTAGGTGGTAGAGGCTGAGCTAGGTGGTAGAGGCTGAGCTAGGTGGTAGAGGCTGAGCTAGGTGGTAGAGGCTGAGCTAGGTGGTAGAGGCTGAGCTAGGTGGTAGAGGCTGA